TTGCTAGAATTGCAACGTGGTGGGGTCAACGATCGAAGGCCCAATGGATGGAAGGAGAATGTTTTTATTATACTTATGCTATACAGCTAGAAGAAACGGCAACTCAATCAATCAGCTATCATTTTCTAATGGCACAGTAGAAACATATCCGGAAGTCATTCATACATCTTTTGAGAATTTCTTCTCGAAAAAAAATGGAGTAAATGCAAAAGTGAATTATTCAATTGGCCTTCCTTTGACTTGGAAGATCGGTTAAATGAGGAGACGAAGAAAGAGTTGAATACAAAATTTACAAAAGAAGATATGTACTCTACTATTATGAAAATGAGCAACAATAAGTCGCCTGGTACAGACGCGGCCAATGCATGTTTTTTCAAATCATATTTGAGTATAGTGAAGGATGAAACATGGAATGCTATAAATGATTTCTTTATTTCAGGTATCATGCCTGATTACTGGAAGGAGATGACGGTGGTGCTAATTCCTAAAGTCCCGAACGCTTCTGAATGTTCTAAATTCAAACCTATATGCTTATGCCAGACCATTTAAAATATGGCTTCAGGTATGATTTTAAGCAAATTAAGTTGTCTTCCTAATATTATTTTTGAATATCAACGACCATTTGTTCCTGGAAGAAGTATATTTGATAAATGCCTACTAGCTTAAGAGATTTTGAACAAAATGAGATTTTCTGTTGCAAAATCGAGATATATGCTTTTGTAACTTGACATGGAACAACCCTATGATAACATGAGTTGGGAGACGTTGAATCAAATTATGAAGCTTATGGGGTTTCGGACAAGATTATAGATCTAATTATGCAATGTGTTTGCTATCCTAAATTTTCTATTAAGATCAACGGGAGGATGACAAAGTGGATAACAACACAGTGGGGATTTAGGCAGGGCTGGCCGCTGTCTCCAAGCTTATTTTTTATGTGCTCTGAACTACTATCCAAAGCATCTCCTTTACGTTGATGATGTACTAATTGTAGCTGAGGGCTCTAGAAGCAATGCAATTTTTTTGAAGCAAATCTTTAAGGAGTACTATGATTGGACTGGACAACATATAAATTCACAAAAGTCAATGGTTCTATATGGTAAAACTATTTCAAAGAAGAGGAGAAGAAGATTGAATAAACTTACGGGACTTAATCCAGTTAATGAAATGAATTATCTCAGCATGAAGATGGCATTAAGGAGACTGAAAGCTGCTGATTACCATTTTGTAAAAGATAAAGCAATGGAGAGATTAAACACGTGAGGCTCTCGCTCCTTATCACTGGCAGGAAGAATGTTGTTAATCAAAATAGCATTTTCCTCTATCCTCTCATACTTAATGGCTCATTCTCTAATACCAAAAAGTGTTCTGCTGGCAATTGATAGAATTTGCAAAAAAAATTTGTGGCACAGGGAGAACGGAAGACGAGGCTTGCATTATATATCATGGACTACACTGTGCTCTTCCATAAATTCTGGTGGCTTCGGCGCTCAGGGAGCAGCGGATAGACAAGGTCCGCTCAGATCGCGTCTAGCATGGAACTTTATACATAATCAAAATTAACTTATTAACAAAGTATTGAAGGCAAAGTATGGTGATGGAATTTGGGAAGAAGAAATTAAGAGGAATTCCTCTCATTCATGGTTAATAATAAAGGATGGTGCACACTATTTGAAACCTATTATAAGATGGCAGGTTTATTTAGGCACAAAAATAGACATTACAAACGATGTTTGGCTGCTAGATAGAAGTTTAAACAAGTGGCCTGCGACCTGTAATTTAAATGAACTTCAAGGAAAAAACGTCTCCTTTCTCATTGATGAAGAAAACGATGGGATAGGGAGGCTTTGAAGACTCATTTCTCTGAAGAAATGAAAATCATGATTTTACAGACTCCAATTGGAACATGTGTTGAAGAAGATAAAGTTGAATTAATCATATCTGATTAAGGCAGATCAATTACATCAATGTCTTATGAAGCTCATTATCAAATTCAAGAAGGAAATCAGAGAGATCTGAAATGGATGAAAAAACTTAGGAGTTCCTCATAGGGAGTTCTTATTTTGGTGGAGATTATTTAATGATGCACTGCCTACTAATGCATGGTTGATTTATGGGAAACTACATTGCAATATTACCTGTCCGAGAGGCTGTGAAGTTCCTGAAGATAGGGAGCATATTTCAAAACGTTGCTTGAAACTCTTAGAAATATTGCATATACTGAGGCAATGGGGTATAAATGTTCCGGAATTTCAAAGTCTGGATCAATGCTTTGAGGGACTGAAGATTGTAAGACGAACGAAGCATGGCCTTTCCAGAATTTACATTGCGGCTGTTTATCACAACTGGAAAGTCAGAAATATGGCTAAAGCATGGAATATCAGTTACTTCGTCGTCATCTATAGCTGCAGAAGTCTTATCTAACTATTCGTATTTGCATTCATTACCAATCAAGAAGAACTAGGATATCAATCAGCAGTCTATGCTGTCTAACGCTTGGTGTCCCCCACCTGATGGTTGGATTAAACTGAATGTAGATGCAGCGGTGTTGCAATCCAATTTGGCAAGTATTGTTGGTGTTTTAAGAGACCATAAAGGAAGAATGCTATGTGCTTATGAAAAGAAATTAATTGATTGGGATGCTTCTTTTTTAGAATTGAAGGCTATTTTTAATTTTGAAAACTCTATTCAAGAGTGGATGCTCGCAAATAAAGGATTAATAATAGGAGGTGATAATGTAAATACCATGAAGAAGCTTCAAAATTTCATAAATGTGACTCCGGATAAGATCAATAAAGCTCTAAGGCTAGACCTCTCTTTTTTAGAAGTTTTTAAGAATATTATATTTCAATTTGTTCCTAGAGAATGTAATAAGGTGGTAGATTATTGTTCACATATTGTCATATTAGGTGATTTCTATTGGGATGTTTTTTTAGACAGTGAACTTCCTTCAAGCTTTGTAGACTTGAACAGGAAGGACTATGATAATTTTCTTTTTCATTAGTCGTTTGCAATTTTCTTTTTTAGTTTTAATGCAATTTGCGTAGTTTCAAAAAAAATGATTTTCCTAGAGAGTTGAGAAAGTGCCTGAGTTTGTTAATTTCTTCTGGATTGAACCATTGTGATTCTACAAAGTAGGTATACCCTTCTTCGTGACCATTATTCTCGCCATAATTTGAGGACCTTTAATAGAGTTTTCAATATATATTTTTTTTGATGAGTTTTTTCTTCTCATAATAATTATATTAGAAATTATTTCTGGAAGAAGGCTTCACCCTTATTGAGGAAAAGGATTGTAGCAGTAAGTCCCTTATCCTAGGGTTTGATGGTTTTCATGATAGATATTTTGGAGACCAAGCATTACAATCATTTTTTCCTTCTTCGACTTGTGTAACAAAAAAATATTTCATTTAGTGATGATAAGTTTTCTTTTCTTAAGGTTTGAACTTGAACTTGATTGATGACATTATTAAGTTCTTTAAGAAACTCAACCACTATTTCTCTCTCTACAATTTGCTTAAGAACTACCATTTCATCATAGCATGTCTTCTTGAGATCATGATAATAATTTAGTTTAAGTCAATAAACCTTCATTACATTAAATTACTCAATAACATGAATGTTAATTTGCTTGATTGTTGAAGTCTTAGTTTGATCTCATAGGTGAGAGTACTATCATTCACTTTTAAATACGTCTATTTAACAGCACCTCAAACTCCTTTTGCAATGGAGAGAAACATATATAGCACACTAATTACAAAAAAGAGGAGAAAAGTCCCCAAGTGGGGCTTATATCTAAAATAGGAAGAGAAAAAACACGAATTGTAATCTCACAGTCAGAAGAGGATCAATCTAATTGTTAAAACTCTTAATCAGTAAGCTCAAGGATATCTACCAAAATTAGATGAGTTGTAAGTCCCACAATCCTTCAATATAAGGCATAACCGCATAAGATAAAAGGAGATGAACGTGAACAATGAAACAAACTCACTATTCTTCCAATTCTGGTTCTCTAACTCTCTTTTATATACATTCTATATTTCTTAGATAAATCTTCCATTTAAGTAAATCTTTTCAATAATAAAAATAAAGATAGTGATCTCTTCGCTTTCCTTCTCCACTTCTATGTCGATTTTTTTTTGTTTAGACATAGGACACTTTTTTAATAATAAAATGATGCCACAATAAAAAAAGTTGAAAGTGTGAAATAATTTATAGGACTGCACAAGTAGTTTTTTTATTATGATGCATGTATTGTATCAAATTTTAGCATGTTCAATCTTAAAGCAAAATAAATGCATTAAATATAACAAAATTGTGTCAATCTATATTGATAAAAATCTGATCAGGATGAAGCTCAAACTCTTAGATCTGCTTTGAGATTTATGTAAAATTAATTATAAATGAATTGCAATCTTAAAGCAAATCCAAATATTTTGAACCCATTCTGATCAAAATATTGATCAGAATATCCTGACAATTTTTTTCCCATTTAAAACATTATTGGATGCATGCATGTGTGTCATCTTTGCACCCACACTTGGATGCATGAGAATGACTTGTATATGTACATGAAGAAGATAAAAATCTTCAAGAATTCTATGAACAATGCTTATTATTTCTTATGGCCTAAATAAAAAATAATAGCAGGCAGACAGCACTCATTAAGGTATATTTAGTAAAGAATCTTCAAGTAAAAAGCATATGCAAACATAATACTCCAAAGAAACACTCAATTTCTTAGTGTAGCTCCTTAATTCGTCCACAGAATACGAAGCAAAACACTGAACAAGAATCCATTTATCAGATATGGATTCATACCAAAGAAAATAAAATACAATTGGAGAAATCATGTACTTTATCTCAGATTGATTATCAATTGATTTAAAGAGGTTGACCAAGGTTTGAGAGGATAAAGGTTATCATTTTAGGCAAATTTTCCAGGTAAGCAATTATTTTGTAAATCACTAAAGGCAGATAATATATACAAAATGAATTACCTGAGTATCGCTTCCATTATCACTGCCATCCCTTGCACTCAAGCCGATACTACCATTGTCCTCCTCATCATTGCTACCAGTGTTATTATCAGAATCATCTAGGCTCTTTAATTTAGTATATTTTTGGCCTTGTATGCCACTTTCGCTTCCACTTCCACTTCCACTTCCACTAGACTGAGAAAAAGTGAAATACAATGCTAAGGAATGGAAAAAATATACAAAGACTACAATCAATAAAGACCAAGAAAATTAATGCAGGCAATGCATGAGGCTCCCACCAAATGTGAGGTCTGGCAAGGGTTTCTATATGCAGCCTGTTTCGTGCATTAGCAAAAGATTGTTTCCATGATGTGTACCCATAACCTACAGATCACAAGAAGGGCAACCTAAACATCACACCTATGCCCACCATCAAGCATAAAAAAAGATACTAAAGAGCAAATGGGGCTTTATTCCTATAAGTATAATATTTTATGAATAGCCCAGGCAACATTTCCTTAACACAAGAGCTGAGAAGCGAACAGCCTCTCTAGTGAAGAAATTACACTAACTTATCATATAAAAAGAAGGCAACATATTTATCTGACAACCTTTTAGTTTGCTTTCCACGTAAGTCAACCAGATTAACGTTGAAACAACCTTGGATAAACTAGTATTACAATTTGAAAAAAAGAAAATGATTTGCAACCTATATCCTATAAAAAAAGAGAATTTTATAATGAAAATCTTTGCTGTAATCAAATCACATTGAACAACATAAGTTTGACTCCTTGTTAAAACATAACATAAGATTACTCAATTTAAAAGTGCTTGGAAAATGCTAAATAAAACCCTAACAATTAACTTACACTATGGCATCTTCTCCATACATGCTGCCAAAGGTTCTTAAGCTCATTCTTGCGAATTGGTTTAACCAGAAAGTCAACAGCACCCTTAGACAAGCATTTAAACACTATACCCATGGAATCATTGGATGACATCACTGCACAAAAATCACCAATCATAGAAGTTACAACTGCTGCGCTGGAAATAAAACAAAATCAAATGTTTTGCTGTATGCTTGAACAAGCTATTGGAAATATTACTTACTAATTACAGGAATGGTCTTGTGAGTTTTATGGCTCATGATCTTGCATAATAGACCAATTCCAGACCAACCAGGCATAACTACCTCAGTCAAGACTAGATCAATATGATTCGTTTGATCTTGTAAGACTCTCCAAGCTTCCAGACCATTTGCAACAGCAGTAACTGTAAGAGAATTGGTTAATATTAGAAAAAAATATCAAGAAACTTTTGTTTTAGGGATAATTAAAACTTGCAAATTAAGTACAATAATACCAGAAGATTAATATAGTTCTAAATGAAATGACGAAGTGATGAACATTAGAAACTGAATGAATAAATTGTGTGTCCGTTTTACATGCCAGAGTGAAAATCTAGCTATAAAATATATCTGATGTCAATACCCAAAATACTTGAAGCACAAGCATTCTTGTCAATGATTACTTAGGCCAATCATACAAGAGTAAAATGTAAATAGATAAATACCCAAAACTACTGCAGTTTCTAGCAAAAATGTCAACACATGGAAGTTGCTCAACACTTGAAGTGGGATTCCTTTTTTTGCTGAGTACATTACAAGAGGAAGGGGTAGATCTTTCATTTAAACTTTGTAGATCCAAAAGTCTATGTGCATGCATATTACACATTGCAAGGACCCTAACATTAATCAAATTATTTAATGTTAATTTCCATTTCCTTCTTTCTTGAGTATGTTTGCATTGTCCTAGCAATTCATTGTACTAATTATAAGAGCATTTCTATGTTTGCCTATTTCCAAGTATTTAAAGTATTTTCGTAGAATTTCAAGGAAAAACCAAAGCAACTTCAATTTCAAGTGTTTACTTTGAAGATACTATGGATTTGATTGCTCCCCAACTTAAATGAATTAGCCCTATTCATTGCTTTTACGCTTGGAAGGAAGCTGTAAACAATTTTCAAGTCTAATAACAAATTTTTTATAATCTAATTTGAACTCAAAATCATTTCTTATTCAAGATAAATTATACATACACATGATTGAATTCAATAACTCGGGGAATTACATGAACACTAAAAAAGTCACATACGGACACGGAGACCCTCAACAAGAGCTGCAAGCATCTAACTCTCTGAAATTCATCAATATGACAGGCTTCCTACTTCATTCATGAAAGTAAAGCACAAACTATTATTCGATTATTGTCAGGCCAATCAATTCTTACGCTCAATAGATCCAACAAATGTTTTGCCCTGTTCATCCATCAAACAATATTGTGATGGAGAAAATATTTAAAGGCAATAGTGAGAGAAAAGAAAAGTTAGGCTTCAAATTAACCTAACACAATTTATCAAAAAATCTTTAAGGAATTCCCCAATGAAGGATGTTCCCTGTTTTTTCTAGAATTGAACACTAATCAAAGGAAGCTAATTCAACATAAGTACCATAACCACTCCACTTTACCAATTCTTGCTTCAGGGAATACGATGTGCACCAAAGGAAGTTAACTTAATCAATGCATTTTAACTCCACTTCACATTTATCACCTGATTCAATATGTTCATATACACCCAACACTAGGTAGGCTAAACCAGGTACTGCAATTCTTTTATACTGTGTTAAAATGAGTTAATAAGAAATTAAATTAACTCACCACAAAATTGAAGTCCACAAAGGGATAAGATTGTCTTACTAATGAACTTGTCAATTCAATTCAACAAGGCTACTCGGCACAACTATTCGGTACTCAATCCGGTTATCATTTGAATATAGCATATTAATATGCTATCAAATTAGCTCAAGCAACCAAAGATGCTTGCCAACTCAAAGTGGAGCTTCCAATAACTTCAGTATAAGTTTTATTCTCAAAGAACTAGTGCTTTACTTGGAATTCATCATGACTTCTCAATGCACCTTTATATGCTATAGCTAGATAAGTTTATTCATTTTACAGCAACCAATTCTCAGATCTTATTATGTAATTTCACTTGAATAGCTCAAATGTAACCTTTTATGTTGACTTGTAACTCAATTCAAGCACACATATCAATTAAATCACATTAGTCTTAAGTTTTTTTGGCAATCTAATGAAATTTTAGAGCTTATCTCTCTGCCGTCTCTATTTGTCTCATTTTTTCATTCCTGTTCTCAACCCATTTTTATTATTAAGGTTCTGATATCATCCACAGCATATTTGAGATCAAATTATCCATACATACTTTACCAATTTAGCATGTTCCCAATATCATTTTGTAAAATTTATTATAAACATACAAACGAAGAGAAAATCATGATTAAACAAACAGCATGTAAACTAATGAAAACTAGTCATGAATTATCAATGTTACTTTTCATAAGCAAATAGATTGATCATTAAATAAACAAATATGGAAACTTTTGCAAGATATAGGTCATATTTTCACCTAAGACACTTATGCAGATAGTTGAATCAGTAAAATTACTACCATGTTCTTAGTAAAGTCTAATCACCCCCAAAAAAAGCAAAAATGGCTACAGCGAAACTCTTCTTTTACAAAACTATAGTAAATGCAACTTTGCAGTGAAAAAAAAATTCATGTCAAAAAATGATGTCTTCATTACCACAAGTTGCTTACCATCATAGCAACAGTTCCGTAGCAAGGCGCATAGCACTTGGCGGGTGGAATCATCATTCTCCACCAGAAGGACCTTGAGAGTTCTTAAAGGAAGGAACCTCTCCCACCGAACAATAGGAGCCGACGGTTGGTGTTGCAGCTTCTCCAGCACAGGATTAACATGAAATTTTACAGCTGCTTCCAGTAAATGAGCTTCATTTAAATCCATTGCAGCTTGATTGATCCTAGACTCATCTTCATCAGCAAGTCCATGTCCCTCTCTGGCTAACCCATCCCTTACTTCCTTGGGTTCATTTCTGGTGCCACAATTTAGTTCATCCATCCCTTTGCTGCCCAGCCCATCAAAGGGGCTCACCTTTTGGTGTGTCCCTCCCATCAACGAGATTCAAAAAGACCAATAATGAAGAAATCGTTCCACTGGACTAGCGTCAAGCACTCCTTAACGGAGATCTTACGCATTCCGTTATCTTCGAGATATCGCCACCTATATCGGTACTAAAAAACAAAACAACGAAGCAAACATCAAGCCAGAGCATCTTCGATAATAGAACAATAAACTCATACGCGATTGAAGCTCCGTAAAGCATCAATAAAAAATATAATCGGTAAAAAAAACCGTATTCTAAACCCTAATTTGAAACCAATAATCCTTTACACCACTTACCACACGGCCACGCCAACAGCTGCAGCACCTCCAAAATTTCCAAAAGAAAAATAACCTCACCACAAAAAGGCAAAGCAAGAAATTACTTCCGGAGTAAGTAGATAGGGAACAATCTAGCGTTATGTCATCTATAGACAATCATAATATACGACGAAAAAAAAAATAAAAGCAAAAACAGAGCAGAGAAACAGAATGAATACCTTCACCTTCGCAAAGAATGGGAATGCCCATTTCTTGATTCGAAAAGAAAAGATGATTAGAGGCGCGGATCGTGGCGAGTCCACCAGAAATTAGGGTTCCGAAACAATTCTCGTGCTCTATGACAGCAGAAGAAAACGAAGGATGAAGAATATACAATAAACTTATAAGAGTTAGGGTTTTCTTCTCAGATTGCAATCTCTGCCGTTCTGCAACCGAGCATGACCGGTGGATTGAGAAAAAGAAAGAAATCGATGGAAAGTAAAGAGAGGGAGAAAGAGATGAAGAAAAGATGTGAAGAACGAAGGACAGAAGAAGATATTATTCTGGCGACGAGGCCAAGAGTGACGTGGGACAGATGGAGGCGAAGGGGGCCCAATGTGTTAAATGTAGGGACCACTAGCGGTCCTAGCTGGTACCAAAATCAAAAACCCGAAGCTCACGAGCCGATTCCCAATCGGTCAGATCCGTTCTATATCTCGCTTGGGACACGTGTTCATCTCGATGTGGTCGCTAGTATCGGCACGATGCGAATATGATTTACAAATATTTAGGGGGTTATATATCCATAAATACATTTTTATGTACTTATAAATTTAAAATTAAAATTATAAGTTTATTTATATAATAATTTAATAGTTCAAACACATTAATATATATATTATATTATATTTATAATTTTTATTTAATATATATTATTTATTTATTTATTTTATTATATTTATTTGTCAAAAAAAATTCATTTGATGGAATGAATTTCAAGACAATATTCTTTTTTTTAGAGAAGCAAGAAGCTATATCAATGTGGTACTAATCAGCCCATTGGGCTACTTCTCACAAATGTGGAGTATTGTACCACTTAATGCATTTAAATTGAAAGAGGTGTTTAACATTCTTGGTAAATGGGGGTTTGTTATGCCCACTATTTACTTCTTAAAGATTCTTGGAAGAGCTTTATCATTACTGACAGGAACCCATGTATGGGGGGGATTTGGTTCTATACTATTTACCAGGTGTGGCGAGCAAGGAATAACATGAAGCATGGAAGGAAGTATAGATCTCTGTCCATTATAGTAACTACGGTGCTTTCGCTCTTACCTAGGCCTTATAGATTACTGATTCTGGAGCAATGGGGTACAAATCAGCTCGTTGGTCTACCTTCTCACAAAAAATGCTAAGCCCCTCGCCCCCCCACCCTCCCTCTAAAGATTGGTTGAGGTTTAATGTGGATTCATCTTCAATACCTTTTAATTAGGTAGTTCTTGGGATTATCGTTTAGAATTATGAGAGAGTTTTGGTTAGTGAGGGTGGTAAATGCATTGAACATTGGGATGCCTTTCAAGTGGAGGTTTTGGTGGTTGCTGTTATCCGAGAAGTGATTATGGAGTGGATGCTTGAGATGGAGGGGATTATCCTAGAAGGATATTGCATTAGTGTAATCAAATGGTTGCATCAGCTGAATGACCACCAGTACAAAGGCCACTACAGCTTTGAAGGACTGAATCTTTCATTTTTGATGGAATTTAAGTAGGTTATTTTTAAATATATAAATAGGGATAGTAATTGGCCTACAGATTATTGTGCCAAGTTAGATTTGCATGATAGTTTTATTTTTTATGATGTTAATAATGGTGAATTCTCCTCAACCCTTTTGTCTTTATTGAGGGGGGATAGTGATAGGACTTAGTAACTAATGAGAGTATACATGTAACTAGTTTCAATTCTTTTTTAATGCAAAATGTAGAAGTTGAGCTCTACCTCCCCCTCTCTCATTCTCTCTACCTCCCTTTATCTAAAAATACATATCTCTCACTTTCTCTCTCTCCCTTACCCCGTCTTTCCATCCCACTCTCTCTTACTCTCTACCCCACTTGCTCTCACTCCATCTTTCTCTCTTTTATATCTCACTCACTCACATCTCGCTCTATCTATCATCTGTCAACCTCCTCTCCATCACTCTCATTCTCTCTTATTTTATCTCTTCTTTGTTGACCTTATTTTTATATGAGGTCATTAGGTACAACATAAACTTATGATTATACATCTACCTATTTATTGTCTTGTGTATGCATATCAAATGTGCATTTATTTAAATACCAAGTGCTTTCATGTATATGCTTATGTGGGTGAGCATATCCTTTGATTACTGCTTTCATCCAAAAAACTAAGAGAACTAGTCCAACTAAAATACAGTTTTAGTCATAAGTCTGGTAGTCATTCTGCCCATTTATTATCTTGCATTTGTATGTTATATGTGCATTTTTTTAAATTTAAAATGCTTGAATATGCTTACACGAGTAAGCATGTCATATCATCCTAAAAACTAAGAGGACTAATCCAAATGAAATAGTGATTTGGTCTTAAGTCTGGCAGGGGTTCTACCCATTTGTTATCTTGCATTTGCATGTCATATGATCATTTATTTAAATTCAAAATGCTTGTGTATCTATGCTCACATGATTGAGCATATCCTATGGATACTTGGTTTCATCCTAAAAACCAAGCAAACTAGTCCAACTAAAATACCAATTTGGTCTAAAGTCTGGTAAGGGTTAGGCTTGTTTATTTTCTTGCATTTGCATGTAATATGTGTGTTTATTTAAACTCAAAATGCTTGCATGTCGATGCTTATGCCAGTTAGCTTATCCCATCATCACTTGATTTCATTATAAAAATCAAGCGGACAAGTCTAACTAAAATACCTATTTCATCCTTATTCTAGTAATGGTGCTACCCATTTTTAGTCTTACATTTTTTATTGTTTTATACTTTTGCCTTTTAGCATATGTAGTGTCTTGCATGGGTATGTTAATTTTAGGCTTTATATTATAATTTCTTAAGTTGTCCTTCTCTCGTTTACAAAAACTTCTCACTCATGTCATTATTTAAATCAAAATCTGAGTTAGTTCATATCTCTTTTTACCTTACACAATTAAAAAAAATTCATAAGGGTCCTTAGTTAGGCTCATTCACCTTACAATCATCAATAATCTAGAATTTCCTTTAGGGATAAAGCATATTTAGTCTAGTATGATCTTCAGATTCAGCAATCAAATTGGGTTTAGCTAGTTCAAACATTGAGTTCAATTTTTTGTTAAATCATAGAAAATATCTAGAAAGTTGATTTTCAACCTCAACGTCATTGCTTCCCAGTCTGCTAAGGAAACTCAAATTAAGTTTGGATAAAGTATTGAGAACCATCATGTGACATTTATTGCACCACATGGTGACGTGGTGGCAACTACTGAGTCCCGTAAGTCAAATTCCATCCAAGTTATCATCGACGGTGGGTATGTAGTTTCTCCTGTAGCTACTAAACCCTCGATATTCTCTTTCTTGACCTTCCCCAATCAATATTCATGATTAAGGTGAAGTCTCCAATCAACGCTAAAACTCCTTTGTTTGAAAACTTTGAGATGGGGCCATCTTCTGGAGTAAGGAAGATGACAAATTCTTAAAGAGAACAATTTGATTGTTGCTACAATAAAAGCAGCAAGGAAAGTAGATTCTATAACTTCTGAGGAGTATGTTAAATCTCCTCAGCTAGTTAGTGGATGATTTCATCCACTCTCAGTCGCTACTGGATAAGAGAATGTATCGCTTATATTGAATTCTCCTCCCAATACATTCCATAAAGATCCTATCCTACCCTCTTTATTGAAAGAAAGAGGAAATTCATGTTCTTATTGAAGGGATTAATCGATGACTGTGCCACTAGTTACAAGAGTCAAATACTGAATTTTTGAGAAGTGTTAGGGATGTAATCTCTCTTGAAATATAACCACACTGAATTGGAAGGTAAGGAGTGGCTCATCCTATAAAAAGAAGAGTTCAATTCCAAGAATTGGGTCCTAGTCGACCAATTATTATTACAAATCATCGTAGGGAGCTAAAGAAGTTCTCATATCATAATCAACATGTAGCATTAATTCACGTGCATAGTCAACAAACTCCTGTTAGATCTTTAAGGAATGAAGCAATAGCTTGTTGAAGGTATAATCTCATATCTCCCCTATCTTCACACTAGTCTAGAAATCATCCTGTAAAAGCTTATATTCACCCTTCAAGTTAACATTCATCAAGGGTTGATCAACCACTACAGGAAAATCATCGATTTCCGGCGGCCTTTTCCGGCGGTAATTGAACCTTTTCCGGCGGTTTTGAGGTTTTCCGGCGGTTCATTTACCGCCGGAAAAAACGGCGTAGGAAAATAAATACCGGCGGTTTTTACCGGCGAGCGAATTATATTCTGGCGGCTCTCCGGCGGTTTCATAAACCGCACGCCGAATTAAAAAAAAAAAAAACTGCCGTGAGGCTCGCCACACCCGCTTCCGCTCCCGCGCCGCGATTCGCCTCGCTCCGGCTCCCTCTCCGACGCCTCCGTCCCGCCTCACTACACGCGCCACACCGCAGCTCCATTTCCTGCGCGTGTGCTGCCCGCGACGTCGTGCGCCCCGCTGAAGCGGCTACTCGAACGGAGACCTGTTGGATTAAACCCCTGCTATCAAACCGAAATGCTAATGTCAAACTAAGATTTATTCTCAATAGGTTTTATTTATCTATAGTTCTAACCTGTAAATAATAACATTTTAATTTATTAAAAAGGAAGTAATTAATTTTAAAATAAAAAATTAATTATTTAATAAATATAAAAATTAACTAACTAATAATTTAAACATGAATATAATTAAATAGTTAATATAACTTTTAATATTATTTGTTAAATCATTAATAGTTTAAATTTATTATTATTTTTAATTTTTTAAAAGCCGCCGGAAACGTTAAAAAGCCGCCGGAAAGCCGCCGGTAATCCGCCGGAAAGCCGCTGGAAAATTCCGCGGGATAATTTTGCGGGAAATTAGCCGTCGCAAAATTTTGCGGGGAAATTAGCCGTCGGAAAGCCGCCGGAAAATTTTGTAGGAAATAAGCCGTCAAAAACCGCCGGAAAGCCGCCGGAAACCAGACCGCCGGAAAGCCGCCGGAAAATTCCGCCGGTAATAAGTGATTTTCCTGTAGTGAACACCACACATGTGGTGCAAATCATCTTCTCATTTTGATAGAGGAAATTAAAGTTCACAAATTAATTAACATAAGTATTTGATATGAAAAGGGTTTGGTCGCCTAAGATGGTTCCCACTCCCATTGCATTAATGGCACATAGAAATAATCCAGTGGATGAAAGATCAAGGAAAGGAAAATTTCTTAAAGAATTGTCCCCTGCTAGAGAATATACTCTGAGTAACCATCATAATCTGGAAGGAAAGTCAATTAAGGAGATAGTGGATCATCTAAAATAAATTATC